GACAACTTTGAGATAACCAGAGACCAACTTACACAGACTGAGTTAATGAGGGAACTGGAGGATGAGACGTAGCACCTAATTTTACAGATCATTTATTTACATTTACTCATAATTTCCTTCAACTTTCCCATTTCTTTCCTGGAAATCACAGTGTAATTTTGTTTACTTAGTTTAGGTAAATACATAGAAAGTTCTGGGACTTTAGCTTAATTCAAGCTTAATTCAGTATTTGTTTAATTGTATGCACCTGTAACCACACCACACATTTTCATATGTTCACTGACCTGCTATGCACCGACTAACGTATTAACTCAGTAACTGAAATGAATTAACTATCTGAATAGTGTCTCTACACTGCCATGTTGGGGTGAAGCATTTCTCCAGAGAACATGTAATGATATGATCACAACATAGTATCATTTAGCTAAATTCCATTGTTAAAATTAAGCATTTCAAGCAAGGTGTAATACAAACCAACAAAATGTACTGAACATTTTTGAAGTATAAGAATGCGTGCACGGCAAGCTGAAAACTAGTGTAACATTCAGAACCAGTCCATTGAAGTAAAACAAATTTGAGAATGCCTTTGGATGCTGAGATCCATATACTTTAAATGCAATATCTGCAGTTTGATTCCAGCCTGTCTTTCCTCTCTCTCTGCCTGTATGAAAAAAGACATCATTCTTTTCCAGTATACCATCATCAAACATTACCTAAACTTGTGCAATACAGAATTTCACATTTCAGCAGAGAACTGTGACATGGTTATGAACAGAAGCCACAGGTCCCAGAAGCCTCTTCAAAGGTCAACAAGCCAATGTCATCTGTGAATATCTCCCTTCACTGCCAAAGTCTGGAACTGGGTGAGGACTTGCTCTTGCTTTCTGCTTACTTCTATATCACATTTCTAAGGATCACTTGAGACAAAAACACATTTGCGTCATGTAAAAAAAAAAGCTCAACAATGGGTTGACACGTTGCACAAGCAAACTTCAGTGGGAGCATGATTCACTGGTATTCTTTGTTCTGAACTGACAGGAAAACATACCACTATGAAGGAAAGCTTTGTTGACTTTATCCACTTCACTAACATGGACAATATTTTTTTCACAGAAAGTAAGACCCATCAAAATGTGAGAAAAGTGCTCCTCTCACAGATGTTAGGAAATGTAGTGTGACGAAACCAAACAGCTGCATAACAATGATGTGATTTAATGCTCCTAAATAAAAAGATCATCAAATAAAACAATTACAGTTGCAAAAGTGGCACATAAATTATCACGGCAGTTATATGGCAGCAAATTAACAAGGAAAGATAATCATATTGCCAGCGCCACATTCTTCTAGTGAGAGCTGTCAGCAGATTGGTTTCCACTGCACAAGTTTGGGACTGTTTTTCCATTACTGCAGCATGAGGCCTTCGGTCAGACCACAGGGCATGTGTCTCACTGAGAGCCACACAAGGCAGGAAATGTTTTCCTTGGCAGATGCAAGTCGAATTACCACTGGAGCACATAACCGCCACAATATCTGTAACACCATCTCTAATAAGCGAGCTAATAGGTCTGTTGAGTAATGGACGCAACGGCCAGCGCTATGCCCATTATTTTAGTTATTATGAGGAAAAAAAATATAGTGAATGTACACAGAATGTGGGGTAAAAACATTCTATTCAGTTTAGGAATTCACAATGGAGAAAGCAATCTGGACACATTCCTTCTGTTTCGCTGCTAAGAGACTCAATATCATATTGTTTAGCAAAGAATGGCATTCATTCCCCAGAGGGGAATTCAACCTAAAATTCAGAGTATGTCATGCTCCACCAACCGACACGTAGTTATTTTGCTAGAAGTTTGTTTTGTCTGTGTGTCCATATTTAGCGTCAGCAAGGAGACTAAATAACATTTCTAAAACTATAAAGTCATTGCTTCAGCATTTCATGTATGCCTTTAAAAATATTCTCAGCTGATATTTGATTTGTATACCTGATTTAGGACCACTCATCAGTGCTTCAACAACACTAAAGACCTTCAAAGCAGCTTTGCATTGATTGTGGCTGCTTGAATGACTTTAGTCACTGGTTATGTGTGATCCCAGGAATAGTGATAAATGTGGAAGACTGTGGACCTGCCAGCGCTGTAAGGGAAGGACTACTGGGGCTGTTTAGGGGCAGTGGGGGCAAAGAAGGCCATGCAGGGGCTCAGTCTGGTCTCATCTCTCAAGTCATAAATCTTGCTTATGTAGCAGGCCTGTCAGGTTGAACTCAAAGAGCAGTTGAGGTGAACTGAAAGGCAGACAGAGCGACTGACAGGGAGAGAGGTGGTTGTTCATAAAAGACAAAGAGAGACAGGGAGTCTGCAAGGAGCAGAGGGGGTAAGCACAAAGACATAACCTCTACCTTTCGCACTTTGAAACACACATATACACACTCTTGGGACAGGTGTGAGAGAGTTCTGGTGAGCCCCAAGGCCATGCAAGATCCCAGTGGCCACCTTGGTTTATTTGTCCACCCCACTCCTCCCCTCGCTGCACTCAAAGGGTAAACGTCTATTCTGGTTTATGGCTACAGCCAAGTTGCCTTGAACCCCAATGCTCCTAAGCACACATGCCATTCCTGGCGGGCCAACACACTCCCTTGCGGTCCCCGACCCCCACAGGGAGGAAGGAGCACCTCAGTGCCTGCACTGCCAATCCCCTGCCACCACCACCTTTGCCCATCCAGCCCCCCATCCCGGTGACACAGAATAAGCCACCTGCCCCCCCATCCATATCCTCTGCCCCCTTCCAACTATTATTACAGGCTTTATAAGGGTTTAAGTTGAGATCAGAGGATGGCTATGACCTCAAAAGGCGGCTAAGCTAGGCTAGAGCTAACAGTTAAAGAAGCTGTCTGGCACAGAAACAAAACATGTCTGATAGCACCACTACCTCAGTCTGCCCTGTTTTCCACCAAGCAGATCCGCTCTGAAACAACAGGATGACACTGTGGCCAGCCATCTGTTAGCAAACATCTTTCAGCATGCTGTCTCACCTTCCCAACACCTGTTTAGCAATGACATTACCCACAGCTTCACTTAGGAAAGGCCTGCATACAGTTATTTTGTTGCTCCTTTACCTCAAATCAATGTACTGTAATAAAGAAATCTCAGTTGGGCACAACAGGGAATCACTGAGTCTGTAGCCAAATAATGTAAACAATGTGGTATCTGGTCAATTAGTCTGGAAAGGTCCACTTTAGACAGCATATTCTGGATAGGAAGTGAGATTTATCCCTGCTCATCAAAACACATTTGTAGTGAGCAATTTGGAGCTAATTTTGGTAGTTTGCTCTCCACAATCACAGCCAGAGGTACAATGGGGCAAAGATCTTGCCAACACGAGTCAGTGTATGGTGAAGACGGTGGAAATCACATTAAATTCATTTAGTTTCCAGCTATTTTTTAAATTTTAATTGTTCTGCTCATGTCACTTAATTGCTAAAAAAACTGAAGCATATTAGATGTTTGCGTGTAGAAGAATGAGTGATTAGTGTGTGCGCCTGTTTCTGACACATCATGTCATCACACAGTATGTTATGAGACTGAATGGAACTGACAGCTGTGCAGGAAACAGGAGTGATGTGAAACATGAAGATGAGGAGTGGCAGTGAATGGGTGTGTGTGGGAGCGACTATGTGAAACAAATTGTCTGACCATATGAAGTACAGTTTACAGCTGGAGAGTGTGCAGAAGCAAACATTTGTCTTTTAATGCCCCACAATACTGCAGATATGGGTGAGGAGAGGTTAACAGCCTTTAACTTCTTTTTTACCCATCTACAAGAAATATTTCACCACGGTCCTGAATTTCTAATTGACATGTTAGTGATAAATATAATCACATTCTGTTTCAGAAGACTTCCCCACAGTTTTAAAAGGTACAGCAAAGGCTTTTTAATGTTTCTGTCTTCAAACTTGTCTTGTTTAGGATGATCAAGATGTTTTTGTGGCCAGTCATGACAATATGAGCTCAGTAGTTCCCACAGTAAAGTATGTGCATTATGGAAAGTAATGTATAAGAAATAAGGAAGTAAATATCAGAGGTAGGAAGGAGTCATTGCTTGGCAAAATCTGGAATATGGAGCTCTGGAGCAGACAGTTACAGGGAGAGCTTTTTAACATGATGCACTTTGCAGTACCTTAATAATAAGCTTATTAAAAATGCTTCCTACAGTATAACCAGATCCAGCTTCACTTTTTTGTCTGCTGAGGCACCACTGATGTCTGGAGATTTGTTTATTCTCACTGCTTTCCAAAGTATGAGAAGTCTCAAGCTGTAAGAGTAAATAATTAGTAAAGTTATTTTGCAGAAATAATAAATTTGGTTTAAGATTTTTAAATTAATTCTCTCAAACTGATCAGGTTTGGCTCACAATCTTATTCTTGCAACACAGTTACAATAATTTGTAATTTTCTAGTCTTTACAACCAATTGTGATAGGTAGCATCTGATGGCTGCTCTTCTAAACCCACCTTTCCTTCCAACATGACTGGCTAGTGTCAGATGGCTTCAGGTTTTATCGTTGTCAGGCAAATAAAGAGCTGATTTGCTTCATTCTGTATGTGTAGTAAACTTAAATCTTTTGTAAATTTCATGTTTGACTTTCAGACCCACAGTGCAATGATCAAGCTCTCAATACGCTGGAAGCAGGCTACAAAGGAAAAGCATAGCTTAACTTGCTTTACAAGCATCCAAATATATAGGTGAGTCATTGTTGATTATTTTTAGGTCAAGTATTTTTACAAAGGATTTAGTTTTGAATTGGTTTGTGTTGTTTCTGTATAAGATATTAATTGGATATTTATGGCTTTAACTGAATCTGAAATTTACATACTACAGAGAAAGATAAGGTCCTAACTTGCATGAATTTAAGGAGAATTCTCCCCATCTCTGGCCTGCATGTGTTGGCAGGCCTTGTGTTTATCACCTCATGGTACACAGATGACAATAGAGTTGGGCGTACCGTACATCTTGCCCTCATCAGAGAGGATGATCTTCCTACGGCCGCAGGGGGGGTAGATGGCCAGGGCCTCTTGGAAGCTCTGCTCAATGTCAGGGCTCCACACACCCTCTGCATCATTCTCCAGGGGTTTGTCGAGTCCATCCCCTAGCTCCTCGTTCCCACCCCTGGGGGAGGGAGCTGGCACCCACTCCGCAGACGTGGTTGGACAAAAAAAGAGGATCACACAGCAAAGGGGTTGTAGGGTCAGGGGTAGTGGGAGATGAGGGTGGAGGGAGATTGAAGAGGCTCCAAGGAGTGGACCTGTTTGTATGAAATCCACAGGTGATGATGAGGAGTCTGGATGTGGCAGGACAGTCCTGGAAAAAGCAAGAAAAGGATGTTAAATTTAATATGGTACTGCACAAGGAGGAAGTTTCTCAAATCCAGAGTTATTCAGGGGAAGGATTTCTGAGGTTCTTCTCTCAAAAATCTAGGCTCCAGAAGTTTTGTGAATGAAAGAATTAAATAACCTGGAATCCACAAATTTATGGCAGTTTTGCTTAATAATCAACATAAACAATTATTGATTATTTAAATTGTTAATTTATTTTCTCTCTGCTGATTAAATAATTAATACGCTTATCATGTCAATGCTTCTCATGAATATGTGGGTTGCTTTAGACAAAAACTTCATAAACCCTTCACCTACAAAATTCACTCATAAAATGTCAATTATTCAGGAATGCAGAAATATGGCCTTTGAGACTGTGCACTACGCTTACGTTTATCCAGCCGTGTTTGACAGGGTCTCATAAGCTCAAAGGCGGCAAAATCTGCAGACCATGTAATCCTTCATATTGAATTAAAACACGAAAGCCACAAAAATCAGACTAACATTCTCATCCTAAAATTGGTTTGTAAAATAAATGGCAAGCTCAGCTAGGTTTGGTTAGCAACCTAACTGCTAGAATAAGGGAGTTATACTGATGGCACACTGCACGGCCACATCAGCCTCCAGCTGCTAATCGTACCTTGGAAAAAGCACCTCAGATCATTAATGATGTTATTGCCACCATGAAAACAAATCAAGTGGCACCTAGCGTTGAGGAAATAGTAGCAGGGGGACAGGGGTGCAGGGTGGGAATTAAAGTCAACAAATGAGGGGAAACATTAAAGTGGGATCGCCATCCTTAGTCACACAGAGGCACACATGCCAAGAAGGATCATACCCAGGATATTAAGGCCAGAGGGCTTTTTAGGTTGCCTGTTTCTTTATCAATAGTATAGGTCCACAGCTAAGATTCTAATCGATGTCTAATCATTGTGTTTGTGCAATGTTTTGGGTGGGGGAGCATTACAACAACCAGCTGACCAACTCAAATATTGACTTAATATTCCACTGGCTGTTATGACAACAAAACTGGCCAGAGAGCAGTGGGATATACATAACAGCAAGTGATAGTATAGGCATGTTTCACTTGAAGAATGTCTACACACAAATCCATATCCTATTTTCTATAGACAACACTTGCTTAGAATGTGGACACAGTGCTTATACATTTGGGTGAAGACTATGAGAGAGACATCGGCTCCACCTCTTCCTCTCAGCGGACATGCGGGAGAAAAATGGAACCGGGTACAGAGCAAAGGCAAGAGCATAGCAACTCATGAGTCAGTACAAACAGACCTTTGTGTTTGTCACTGACGGTTTTCCTGCTGCCATAAAACTAAGGGACATCAATGTCCATTTAGGGAAACAAAGAAAAAAAGGAGGAACCCTTAAGTCAGTTGTAATCTCAGCCATGAATGTGTGTGGAGATGGTACAGTAAGGTCACTGTGTTGTAAGACTCTCCAGCCAGTCCCCCTCGCTCTTCCTCTGAGCCCCCTGATGTTCCACAATGCTTCCTGCAAAGCGTCCGGCCGGCTAGTCAGCCCTTCTCCCCATCGCTCTCCACTCTCACACACATGTATACACAGATGTAGATGTAAAAGGCACACAAAAACAGACTCATGAAAACTGAATATCTTTGAGTGTCAGCAATATGAAGGCATTATCTTGGACTCTGGGGACTTGAGATGTTTTTTTTCTACAATTACTGTATATAGATTAAATCAACAGGTTAACTAATAATAAAAAAAGGTTGTTCGCTGTAGCCGTACATTAGAGCAGCTCATAGCTTCTAACTCTTCTACATAATGGTAATGTTCTCCATAAATTCTTACAGTGAGAAGAAAGAACTACACAGCTGAAATAGTTATTTTTATAATGAGTTGTCTGCAGACATCGCATGCTTATCCACTGAACTCTTATGTGACCCTAGAGGAAAATCTGAACTGACAACACACCAAAGTTACTGTAAGTGTAACACTGTTTATAATCATCTAGTAAAAACCGTCTTCTCCTGTGAGGCTGTGAAGGTTTTAATACCTGATGGCCAATAAGATAATGTTAAAAATATTTTAAATAAATAGTTCAGCCTGGCACAGCTGCTCAGAAACTGTGACTTAGATAAAACAGTGAGTGCCTTTACATCCATATCATAGTTCTTTCAAAACTCAAAAAATGACCGAACACATAAACATAATTCAATGAGAGAATGAAAGCAAAGAACTAAATCATGTTTTGATAAAATTATATGAGAACATGTAACACTAGCTTTCCTCATGATGCTAATTTGCAAAAAAAGGAAGAAGACCTAGTCTAAATATGACTTTTCTGAAATCACTAATATAAAAACTAAAATTAGTTTAAAATCATATGCAGTTGTTTCTACTGCACACTCCATTAAGCCATATGATTATGAGCTGACCAGCAACTTAACAGTGAAGCAGTGGCTTTGCTAAAATCGCAATAATTATTACTATATAAAATCACAAAACACAACGCAAATTTGACATTTCTACTGTTTGGTTACTGATTTTTCCCAATTTAAATAATCATTTAATATTACAATTATTCTGAACAGATATTAAAGCTCAGTACAACTCCAGCTCAGGGGCTGCTCAGAGCCTCAGTCAAAGTGTCAACTAACCTAAGCCATGCCTCAGAACAGCCCCCCTCACCCGTACAGCCCATTCCCCGATTTACCCCCAGGGAGGCCCCTCTTCCTGGGATCTGCTCAACGGGATAATCCCCCACTTGGTGCTGTGGTCAGGGGAGACACGTAACCCCCTCGGCCGCCCCCCACCCTTTAACAGTGACAACTGATAAGAGATAAAAGTGCACTTGAACAAAGAGGGGTCCACACATAAACAGTGCATACACATACTCGCAGAATTCATCCAAGTCACTTCATATGCAAGGCTGAAAGACATCAGCGCACACACACCAACTGTAGCAGTCAAACAATCCTCCCCTTCCTTACAGTCACACACTGACACACTCTTTGTTTACACCAAAACAGATGCAAAACCACAAGAAGCAGCTTCTTTTCACCTTTACCCTGGAACAGTTCCAGTCAGGTGAGTGAGCAGCCAGGCTCCAGTGTGACTCTATGAAAATATTTCAACAATTATTGATGGGCCGCTGTGAACCTTTGTATAGACATTCAGGGTTCCCATGCAAAGTACCCTACTATATTTGTTGCTCTGCTGACTTTTCCTATAAAGTCACCAGCATTTGTTTGTTGGTTCCAGGGAACTAATGATTATTGTCATTACAGTGAAAAATGGTTGTCAGAATTTCATAGAGCCCAAGATGTTGTTGTCAAATGTTTCTTTTTATCTTATCAATGGTCCTAAACCAACGAGGTTCAGGTAACTATAATGTAAGACCAGGAAAATAGCTAATTCTCACTTTTGAAAACCTGAAACCATTAAATATTTGGCATTTTTTAGATTAAAATGATTGATTATCAAAACATTTCCCAATTCATTTTCTGTTGATCAACTACCTGATTTATTGACTGACTGTTACTGCTCTAATTCATCAATATTCTTCTGAAAAATAGAAACTTTTGTTAAGGTTTTATTTGTCAGTGGTTCACAAAAACTTTGGAAAACCACGCTACTTGTGCTCCCACATATGTAGTGTACAGTATGTATGTCTGAGCAAGCTTTGGTGTGTGTGGGTGTAGACAAGTGTGTGACTAAAGTGGTCACAACCTCAACTAATCAGGTCGAGAATGTAAAGGCATTAAACAGTCTGAAAATAAGGCAGCAGTATAGGATCGGGTTAGGCGATTGACTCAGTGAGAGAATGAGTTTGGTTTGTCGGGTTTTGGTGAGAGCACGTTCTTTGGCACCGAGTCCCACCAGGCTGCACCAGCGGGACCCTCCAAGTCCTACACGTGTCACTGTAGCTATGAGGACCCTCACTGACGCAGCCTGGCTGAGAAGGAGTTTGGGCGATCAGGCAGGGACAAAAGGAAAACGGGCGCTGGATTTATAATGCAAGACAAAATGAAAGCATCATTATGAAACAGAAAACAGCACAATAATCATTTTATCTACAATATTGTTCTCATGATTGCTGGAAGCCAGAATCATAATTGAAAATAAAATTAGATTAATTTCGCAGCCCTAAGACACAGAGTAATCACTAATGAATGCTGATCATGAGTTGTACCTGCTGAATGTGTAAATAGACAACTGTTGGCTAATAGTATGCCATATCAACTTTGTAATGTGAAAATACAGTATGACGGTGTTATGTTTACAGCTGCTCCCCAAATGCCCAAAAAACTGTTACAGTGGGTAAACTGAGAAAAACTAGGGCCCAAACATACATAAAAATGCTGCTTCTACAATGATATAATCTGAAATTTGTATATTTGTTACACACACAAACACAGCTCCAAGTCCTTATCAACCAATATGTAAGAGAGCAGAGGGTCAAGACTACCGTGTGTTGACCCTCTGACCTCTTTAGATGTCACCACCTAAAGACCCAAAGAGGACAGAAGGTCTATCAGATCAGTCCCAGATAATCCAAACAGAAAGACCCATCAGACTGGCTGGAATCAATGAACAACAAAGTCACACACATTGCAGGTGTGGGTGCAGAGAGCTGCTGGTAGAAAAGGAGAGGAAGGGGGTTGCAGAACATCTTTGTTCTACAAGGGAATTATTTCTTTCTCTCATTTGAGTGGAGGAGGAATGATTGCTATGTGGGATGAGCACAGCAAAAAAAAAAAGAAAAATAACTCCTCCGCTTTGGAGAGGACCGGTCTCAGGGCAGCTCAACATGCACACACAACACACTCTCAAACAAGGCTGAACCACACACATCTCCGTGCCTGCTCACATACCTTCTCATACTTTTTACCTCTTTTCTTACTTGCTCCACTCATTCACCCACACCAACACATCTACCTCTAGGCCCAGTCACATCCACTCACCCACACACACATCAACTGCCACATATAGACACACAAATGCTACTGCAGCGCAAACAAAACAACCTTAGAGCTCACATTGCAATATAATCCACTTGTCTGAGACAATGGTGAACCCAGAACCTTGAAAACTAAAGGGCCACTGCCTGGAAAAAACCCAAACTCCCCTGGCTGTCAGACACTTCAGAGGAGGCTTTGACAGGTGTGTTTTTAACACCAACACCCCCCTCCACAGACACACACACACACACACACACACACTGTCATCCTGCTCCATTCCACCTGTTGCCGCTCTGGAAAACAACACTCCTCTCGGCTGCACTGTGGGACGCTGCAACACATACACACATGCATGGCAAGTCCTGTGTTAGTTCAAACCCAATGAAAAGATCTACTCACACACTGCATCTTCAGCTCTGCTGTTGTACGCAGAGAACCTACTGAAATGTACACTCAGTTGCCAGTTTATTAGGTACACCAAGCTAAAATTCTTGCCGTCTAATTATTTAATGCAGTCTAATGTAATAGTGATACTGTAGTGTTCTGTTTTTGTTGAAACGGTTTTAGGGAGGTGTTGATTCAACTGTATGAATACCTTGGAAAATGTAGTTTGTGCAGCTGTTGAACTGTAATACATTATACAAAGAGGGCTTTCTGTTATTTAACCTAACTTTATTGGTATTAATGGGCTGGTCAAACACCTGTTAGTATATGCCAACAGAAGTACTTCAGTGAGTGCACTTACAGTACATTAGCTTTAGTGGTCACCAGCTATGCTCCTCCAGATAAGTACTTTTTAATGTACCTCAAAGTTTGACATATCTGGGGAAAACTGCATTCTCCTACTATGCACCTTGGTTGGAATAACTTGCCGAAAGCTCTAAGGTTAGACACATTCATACAGTATCTACTGTAGAACTTAAGGACACCATAAAGAATGTGGTGGAGCAGACATGTAGCTGTTTTTCTTGAGAGTCCATTGTTTTTATCTTGGGAATGTGTTTTTTTATATTGTGCTGTATGTTGAATTTTAATATGTTGTAATTTGTATGACTGCCATCTTGTCCAGATCTCGCTTGTAAAAGATACATTGATCTCAATGGGACTTCCTGGTAAAATAAAACTTAAATTAAAAAATGAATGTTGCATTTCCAAAAAAAGCTCTAAGCATTTGTGCTGAAACCTTGAACACAGTTTTTATTGTTTGTGAGGGATACTCTTATATTTATTATTATATCTAGCTCTGTCTCCTATGGAGTCTGAATGCACTTATGTTGCAGTGTGTTGGACAAAAGTAACTGCTAAATTAATGTAAGGCTACACACTACATCATTATTAATAAAAACAATTAGCAGATACAGGTGAACACATAGGAGATAGTTATTAGATGATTACATTCAGCACAAACAGCACAGTTAACAGAAGTGTAATCTAACAGGTCAGGGAACCATTTAACAGCAACATCAGTGCTACCACAGTAATAAAAACATTAAAATCCATCATATACAAAACTGTAAGTCTATGTAGGCTGCAGCAATAGCACAGACTGGGATAGGGTTAGGAAGAAGGGTACAATTTTCATATCCTTGTATGCTACAGTATTTCCATTTTCTCTTCTTTATACTTATACTCCATTACATTTAGGAGGGAAATATTACACTGTTTACCATTTAGTTGTTTATTTATCTGACAGCTAGCTATTTTTTTATTTATTTTTGCAAATTAAGATTTTAAAGACAAACCATGTAATGTTTATGAACTATATGATGTTTATCCATTTAAAGCTATCCATTTGAACCCCATCCCAGCTACAAGAATAAAACACTGCATAGTGGAGATCATTCTAGAATAGGGAGTAGCCTAACCTTTGATACTTTAAGTACATTGCTCTAATGATATGTACAGTATATACTCAGTGGTGCAAAGTACACTTACTAAAGTATTGTACTTGAGGTACACTACATTACTTGAGTATTTTACTTTTTTGCACTCTCCTACCTGCTGCTTTTTATACTTCAGAGGTAAATATGATTTTTTTTACAGCACTACATTTTTTTTCTGACAGCTGTAGTCATTAGGTACTTTAAAGATTTTAATAACATGAAATATTAGCCTAAATAAAACGAAAAAGTTGGCTCCACCTCAGCCAACTACAATATTAAAATACTACAATAACAATAGTAATTACACATTTTATACTGTGGCATTACTATGTTCACATAAGTGAAAAATCTGAATACTTCTTCCACCACTGTATTCTATAGCCTAGTTTTTTTGTTTGTTTGTTTTGGCTTTGTTTGCTTTTTTGAGCATTTACAAAGTGTGGTATTTTCACTTTTGCTAAGGTAGATATTTCTTCCACTCCGATGATATCATGACTCATTAAATTCATGATCGAAAAGACAATTAAATCACGCCACAGTCTGATAAATATTACAGTAACAGTGACTGTCACGCTTGTTGACATAAGAGGAGACAAGAAAACAGGCGAGTTAATGAACACACAGACTAAATGATCTCGGTCTCCCGGTGTAAAACCACCCGGACAGGCGCTAATGTTCGACTGGCCGATGATGACGTTATTCCTTCAGAAACAGAGGAAAAGTTCCGGCTCATGCACAGGAAGTCAAACCACACACGCTCAGCTACTGGAATTAAAGAAAAAAAGTTGGAATTTGAGCTTTGAAATGTGAGATATTTGAGGAATGCCATCTCCGACAGGGAGCGAGAAGGATTCAGAGAAATACTGACAATACCTCCGCATTATTCAACCGCCCGAAAGTTACGCTCCGGCACAAGTCACAGTTAAAACGTGAACAAGAGCGCAACACTGGAGTGGAATTTACAAAACACTTAGAGGAGCTTACCTGGTGAGACTCCAGCAGCAGTGAGGCAGGCGGACAGGTAGAGCAACCTCTGTTTTATTCTGTTTATTTATTATTTATGAAGAGTGACTCAGTAAGGCTTCCCCCCTTTGTTTGTTTTCTGCTGCTTCGTCTTCTTCCTGAAGCCGTTTGTTTGAAGCGACAGGAGGGCAGGAATTTCAGGAATTAGCTGTGGTATGACATGAAGCCTGGAAAAAGCCTGAGAAAAAGACCAAGGGAGAGAGGGAGGGGAGGGGAGGAGGGTGGGAGGCAGGTCCGACCGGTCAATGCGTAATGACGAGGGGGAGGAGGGCTCCGAGAAGGAAGGGAAAGCCAAAGAAAGGGTGATGAGGGGGAAATCTCATAAAGAATTTTTAAAAAAACATACAAGCCTCGGGAAAGATGTTACTGCCTTAAGAGGGAGAACTTATTTAAAATTATTAACAGGTGCAGTGTTTATTGGGTCCCATGATTTCACAAAACTCAACCCTTGTCCCTTTTAATTATTTACTATATTTGTTTTTTGTTTGTTTTGTTTCGTATTAAATCCTGTCATACAACGTTGTGCATATGAGTTGCCTTGCATTGTTTTTATTGCTCTGGCAATTTTCCACTATTTGGTCAATAAAGTTCCTAAATAACTAACTAAATTGGAGCTAAAGACTTTGTTGTGTCATGTTGAACAAACAGTGGGTTCACTCACTTTACCCCACCAGGTGCTCTAATATTGAACATGTTAGCGTAATGTTACGATCAGTATCTTTAATGTTTCATGTCATAATATATTTAATATTTGTTCATCTCCTACACCACAGAATGATATGTATTAGAATGTAATTTAAGGGTTTTCCATACCTTTTGATATGACATTCCTGTTCCCTTTGTCACCTATTATTTGCTTATATTCTCACAAAAGTAAACAAGCAATAACTCAGCTGGACTTGGGTGTGTTGTGCAACTCATTAGAGGTTTGGAGGCCTAATTGTCTCAGATGTGACTCTGAACTTTGGTCTCTGTGAGGCAACATGTGCACGTTAACATGAACTGGGTAACAGAGTCTTCTAGTGGGTATTATGGGTATTACATGGTGCTGGTTTACTGGCAAGACTGGCTTCGAAGAGTGACACATCATGAGATATTTTTACACTGGTAATGTGTCCTGGAATTTTACTATACAGTAGTTACGATCTGGCTAATAAAATAACCAGTTGGGTTGTTATTTTTATTATTTTTATTTATTTTCAAAAAGTAAGTAGCTATGTAACTCTATGCCACATTGATCTCAATTTGGAGGCTCGGATTCTGGTCATTCTGTTTCTACAATCCGAGCGCTACCTTGCACACATACATTTGTTAGCATAATGTGTCACGACATTGTAAATTCAAAATGATACATTAAAGAGAGACAACTTTGTGCAACTTTGTAAAAAAGAAATCACACATTTTTCCACTTTGAGACACACCCATGTTCAGACCAGCACACTAAGAGCTTTTGTTGCTGCAGCCCTACTTGACCTGTGGTAGCAATGCTACAGCAGCTAATGTTAGCACATTACTGAGTCAGTTCACTAGATTTATGAGTCTTCTCTACTTGTGTGTGTTGCGTATGTCACAGATAAACATTTTAATAGTTCTATCACAATGGTACTACAAGAAGTACTGTAGCTCATCAGCAAGCAAAAGTTCTGATGACAAATTACAGGGATGTGTTGTACTGTGTGAAAAGTAATGAGACATTTGTCTAATTCAAATCACTTCATTAATAAAGTTTCCGTGCATTCTCACTCAATACTTTTTGAAACACACTGATACTGATTGGCCTAAGATACACATCATTTTTCAACAACAAATCTATCCACATCCTCTACTGAAACCCAAGACAGAGATGTGTAAACATTTGTTTACTTAAAACAGTGGTACACATACCCAACAACCCAGACTGGTCAACAAACAGTCTGGACTAGACTCTGTTAAACAAAGCCTTTTAGAAACTATCGGAGATTTCTTAAAAAAGAGATTGTTTATCTAAAAATAATATAAATTAAAAGCCTCCTATTGAAGAAGAAGTTGTACTATTGCATTTATAAACGTTTCTATAGAAAATACTTGGAATGTATAACAAGTGTTGCACTGTACAAAATTGCAGATTCAGTGACGCTCCTCCTAACAGGTTTATAGGTGAAATCAGTGACTGAAAAAGGGGAGAACACTGCTCCTAAATACATTTACACTGTGCTGTGCTAAAAAGTCACACACTGATTATTATCAGTAAAACATCGAAACCTTGGAAACTGTTAAACTAGACGCTGGTAGACATTGTTTTATCATGTTGGAAGGCACTTTTGGTCCAAGCTGAGTAACCCTTTCACAACACTAATGGAATGACTGGCTTATAAAGCTGGGAGCTAAACTCTAACTTTGCCCAGATTTCCTCATGTTAACACCATGAGTCCAGTTCACTTCAAGAGTCTTCCTTTGTTCTGAGCCACAGCCACATCATCTCTACATTTTCCAGGGAGTGCACACCTCTTCATGACTGGTTTTTCTACTTTCACCAATGATGTCCTGACTCCTAACATTATTTCTTAGAAAGAAATTTCATCTTGTTTCCTAAAAAAAAAAAAAACAGGCATAAATCAATTTTAAAAACTTAACATACAACATTGTATTAACTGTAATCAACTTGACTGATTGACTGAAGATGTACAGTAAATCTCACCTAGGCCCTTGAGGAACTTGTTGACTCCTCGTTGCTCGCTTCCAGGCAGCGAGTCCAGATACTCTTGTGCTCTCACCTCAAACAGACCTGGAAAAGGAAAAAAAAAAGTAGTTAAATATTTCATGTCAAATATATTAAAAACACACCTGCACTCTGTAAAAAACAAATTTTAGTTTAAAAAATGCAGAATTTCACATAAATGAAACCATTTTCACAATGTTGATATATGAGCAACATCTAACATTGAGTAGGTTGAGTGGAGGTTGTCTTGTCAACTATAACTTCATCATTTCAAATATGTTACATAAAGAAAAATACAGTCCATTACAACATATTGTTACTGATGTAACATCTCTTTCGGGCCTGTAGGAAAACATTCAACAAACTATCTAGATAAACAGTCACAGTTGTTGCCCAAAAACACACATTTAATGTCAACAGAACTGTATTAGAAGAAGAAAAAAAAAACAGGGTGTGGGTTTCCAACCAGTACATTTACTTTAATGGTTCCAAACTGTACTGTACCTCTGAGGCCCTGCCTACGCAGCTCCCTCTCCTGGATGAAGCTGGTGAACATCTGGGTCTCCATGAACACCTCCAGAAACCTTCTCAAGCTCTTCGAAGTCACCGCTTTGCGAAAGGCTTCACGCTGAAAGGAGGAAGAGGAAGGGCTGGGCAAGGTGGGGGAGGAGACAGACTCGCTGTCCCTCTCTGTTCCACCCATGAAAAGGGAATAGTGACCGACCATCTCCACAAAGAAACGCACAAAGGCCTCAGACACCACTGTGCTGAGGGAACTGGATTCTGGCGAAGGAGGTTTCCAAAAGAGAGGCAGGAAAACAAAGGAGTGAAAAGAAATGAAAGAGAAAACATTTTAATCACATGATTTTTCATGTCCTACTGTAGTCTACAGAATGGCCATTACATACCTATGTCAGGCTGAGAGACATTTAATATCAAACTCCCTACACACGGTTTTGAAAAATAAACTGATGAAAGTATAGGCTACTCCCTCTCTTACAGTGCATACTGTGTCACTGTTCACACATTGTAAATATTTTCTGCTGCACAGCTATGAGATACTTTCAGCATTGCAAGACATGTCTACAACAAGTAATCTAATTAAACAGATTATCACTGTGCTACTGTACATCATCTGTATGGGGAAGGAGCTCCATATGGATTATGTTAAATATGATACACTTCATGCCTACTTTATTAAATTAACGTTAAACAGTAAATATAAACACAAACACCTCACTAATTCCCATGAGTCTGGGCACTGAGTGGTACCAAGAGTAATGAAACTCTTTTATGGCATAAATGTAGTGTTGCACTGACCTCTACTGATTACAACTGTGCAATGACATGTTGCATTATGGTGTACTGAGACATTATTTTTGGTGTGTGACATAGCAGGAAAAGTTACATTTCTATCTCATTTCATCACTCTTTGATACAATCGTAGATGACATCACTGTTAAAGATGCTTATCAATCCTAAAAATATTTGGATACTTGAATGTAGCTATCCAGTGATGTACAAAAGTCCTGGAAAATAATAACATTGACCAGGAAAGCCCAAAGTTCTCATGGAAAAATGCTTTAATGTAACACAAAACTAATAAGTCACGTGTCTCAAATGTCCCAAATGTATTTTTAGTGAATACAGCTGGCAGCTGACATTGGGATGTCAGGGATGATGAAAAGGTTAAATTATAAAAAATAGTATTTTTGCCATTGATTTGAGCACCCCGGAATTAAAATGAATGCTACTTTTAAAAATGTAATGACATGTATTCTGGAAATGTTCCAATTGATCATTTTATAACACTGTCTTTGGTATATTTGGTATTTCAAATAAAAACATTAGTATACTGTATACATGCATCTACACAAAAACAATAATGTTGCTGGCTGAGTCACCATTGGGTAGATCTGCCTTGTCACAGGCCAGCTCCCTCCTCTTGTCCAGAACATGCTCGAGAGCTGCCTGCAGCTTGTGAGGAAGAATGGAGTCCTCATCATCTAGCTGTTGAGGCAAAAACACAGATATAAATACAGTGAATGTCCTGCAGAATTAACATTTTATTATATAACATCTGGTAGAGCCACTATCTGTGTCACAGAGTTAAAGAATGAGAACATTCCAGTGACTTCAGTCAGAGTTTCACTGTTATTTGTATGCTACTATTTTTTCTACCTGTCTTAGGAAGCGACTGTTGCCAAGGTCGACCACCAGGACCTGAGAGAAGAGCAGAGGGAGAGTGGCGTCATTTCCTGGAGCTATTGTTCACAAGAGGAAAATGCCAGAGTCATGGGCATCAAATCAGTATATCACAAAAATACCCTTACTTCCTCTATGGGCAGCTCCTTGAGTCGTGGCAGAGAGCTGGAGAGGAGGCCGACTATGAAGGGTGTGGGGGTGCAAACGATATCCATCATGGAGGGTGGGAGCACTGGGATGTATGTATGCTGCCAGGTGAAGGGGTAGAGCAGAGCCACTACTGCATGACAACACTGAGACAACGTGCTGCGGAAAGAGAGCAATAAAAAGGATAATGCTAAAAAAACAGTGAGAACTACTTTATATTTTGTATGGTAGAAAAGTAATCTTTCAACAAAAAAGAAAGTGAAAAACTGCACAGATTTAAAGGACGGTTTTACAGCAAATATGTTCAAAAACAGAGGTATGACAAATACCAATATTAGCTGCTGCACTAAATTGCAATAATTACTGGAATGAAGTCGTGGTTGATGTTATTAGCTCCAACTGTCCTGCTATAAGTGTCATGGGTCAATGTTTGAGATGGACAGAGAAACAAGAGTGATCTGATGTTAGCAGGGCTACCAAGATTCAAGTCAGAAATATTTCTTTGAGAAACACAACATGCAAAGTACAACATTTGGACTTTTGACAGAGAGAAGAAATGAAAAACTGATGATGCTCACTGAGCCTAAAAATTTTGTCAAATCTTACATATCAAGATTCTGTTGCTGCTAGGTTCTCTGTCAATACAGCAGGAGAGCCTTTCATATATTCCTAATAATATTTGTTGAACAGTATACTTACAGTTATAATCTGATACAAATTCAGTGTCACTTTAATACTAAAAAAAAGTGGAAAATATGCTACAAAAAACTTCCAATATGAATAAAGAAGGCAAAACCCTTAATAACAGCGTACTGGAAGTCCTGTGGGTTCAGTTAGGAGTCTAGAATAAATCACATCTCTACCACAAGATGGTGCTAAATAACTCCTCCATAAATAACCTCTGCTGCTACTCATTCTTTAATTTGGAACATAATAGATCTGAGAAACTGTTCATCAAAGTTCACTTCTGTTGCTCCAGAAAACCTGTTGTTACCCTAAGAGGAATGTTCAAAAGCATTTCTTGGGGGGCGTAAGATGTAATTCTTATAAAAGCTACAGGGGAGCAGCAAACACATGCAGCCCACACTGTAAACTTAGTTTCTTGCCACATGTGCATCTGCTCACAGTTAATTTATTAAAGAATTGATTGATGAGGCCAAGTTTCCACATCGTGGTAGAGAATGTGCAATGACTCTTGAGCTGCTTATGAGCGTTGGTTAGAAATGTTTATAATGCTACATTTTAAACAACAGTACATGGGCAAAAAGCAAAGATAACACAAAAATGTGGAAGTGTAACTCAGAGAACCATGTATCATATTATATTGCTTAAACTCTCAGGGCTCAAATGATTGATTCCGACACAAAAGCTGTACCGAGCGTAAAAAACAACCTTGTGATCCTGGTCACGGTCATAATAACTTAAGAGCTAAAGGTTTCAAGTGAATTTTGTGATTGTGGTGACATCTTTTTGCATATGTGTTTGCTCTGGAGTCATAATCTAAAGCCTAACTGCTTCTGTCTGGCATCCATGACAGTTTTCCAGAGATACCTCAAGCTGACAATCATTCTGAGGCAAAGAAGATCCCAACCAAGTGTGGGAGGAAGGAATGCTGTTGTGTTGTATAGTCTCCTGGATAACACAACAGCATTCCTTCCTCTCACACTTGGCTGGGATCTTCTTTTCCTCAGAATGATTGTCAGTTTGAAGTATCCCTATCACAACATTTTAAACTCTTTTCTCTTGGTTGTTTCAGCATCATAATCATCATTGATCTGATCACAATGGATTCATTAGAGGGACTGACTAAAATACCGCATGACACTTTCTGCTTGTGCCAAAAACTGAACATATGATGTTTGGGTTTTGAAGCAGACTACCCACCATGCACTGAGACAACACATGGCTGGAGCTAACCTGAGTTTGTCAGCAGTGAAGATGACCCTGCGCTCCAGCAGTAGAGAGGCAAACACTCGCAGAAGCAGACGTAGACTCAAGGAAGAGAAGAGACATTCAAAGTCCACATGTTCCAGACGGGAATCTGATGGCCTGCACAACTCTATCACCTGTAGGAAAAACAGAGGGAAAGTGAAAGCAGCATGAACACAACAATAAAGATTAAAGTATAGTGAAAGCACCATTATTTTACCTCTGTCCCAGAACCTGGTAGGAAGTTTTTGACAGTGATGGTCCTTCCTGGAGCAGGGAAGGGTGCTTCCATGATGCCTCTCATAAAAGGCTGCACCAGGGCAGGAGAGATAGCCCTTCTCTTTTCAACTTCATCCAGGATCTGGGAAAGGGATAGGAGGATGCTCTGTAATTTGACCACTGGCAATAGCAAGTATTTATATGACCACACTGTAGATAGGTTAGATACACTCTCCTCCTCCTGTAAACCCACAGATAAATTGGTATCTGATTCAGGTGCCATCATAAATTAATCAAAAGGGGAGGTAACTCAGTATAAAGGCATGGAGAGTCTTTTGGGAGACTAACATTTTGGTCAACCACTCTGGCTATTATTACCCCAAAAGCATTAATTTGCACCATGATTCAGTGAGGATGGCCAAACATTGTCAAAATCAATACATCAAATACTGTAGCTAACAGCCTGAACCCATTATGTGTACCCCTCTACAGACTCCAGTGTGCACATCTGTATAGTGTTAAAATTCTGTGTAGCTGATCTGATACAGATCATCAGCACTGAGTACTTCCAATGTAGAGGCAGCTATCACTCAGTTTGCCATCTCCTATAACACCAGATACAGTAAATTTACCCTTGTAAGTCCACATGTATGTACAGTATATGTACACTTCACAGACATGCATATAAATCTTAGGCTCATTACAGGGATCCTTTTCCACTGCAGTAACTACATCAGCTGCAGTTCACATGTGTCCCTGTACTGCAGCCAGGACTACAAGTCCCTGTGGGAGCATGGATGGGCCAGAGGGTGGGTGGGGCTCTGCGGGCACTGGCAGTTGTACTGCTCTGCACTCTTTCATGGGGATGTAGTTGTTTCTATGTGCTTGTGTAACACATGCAATACTGTGCGTTTAAACTGATTTGATGTGCATTTATATTTATTTGTATGTGAACTCTGTGCTTTTGTGTTTATGCTTAAGTTACTATCTACCTTGGAGAAGAGATCAAAGCAGCCCAGGCGGCTGACAATGCAGTAGACCTCTGGGAGCCTTCGGCCTTTGCCACTAGGCTGTAGAGCAGCCAGAAAAAAAAGGACATAAATTTGGATGTTACAAGACTGTTCACCCAAGTATGACCATAGCGACTGCACCAGGAAGGCAAGCCCATGCCTTTATTTCACAGAGACCTTAAAGAAACATTCATCAACCACTTTACAGAAACAGAAACTGATAACTTACATTTCAAAACAACAAAAGGAAAAGGAGCATAAGAAACTGGATGAGCACATTTATAATGATTTATAATTAGAAGAAGCTAGTGAACAGGAGCAGAAATATATTTAGAGCATACCAATAATCGCCGACAGTAGCCAAACCGCCTGCTTCCATCTTCACCGGTGAGGACAAATGAAAATGTCTCACTGGGAATGTTAAAAAGAAAAGAAATTAGATAATTCAGAAATGCTGGAAATGATTTAGTTTTAATAAATCAAATAGTAAAGACTACTGTGGAAAACTTCATCTTGGACTTGCCTTTTACAAAAAAACAAAAAAAAAACAAAAGCTGACTGTGTATTTGAGAAGGAAGCCCCCTGAGACAGGCTCACTCTGCAAAGAACCATATAAAACTTCCTAAGCTCTACCTGACAGCTAATAATTTACCAATGACAACCTTCTTGACAGGTGAGACTGTCAGCCAGTTCAGTGAGTCACTCTGCAGGTGTGCATTTCATGGCCTGTCAACCACTGACCATTTGCCAAATAATTATTAACCATCATTGTTTCTCTGAGGAGGTAGGAGGCACTGGGTAATACGGCCAATTTTACACATAGAAAAAGAGGTGACTGTAATAGCAGACCAGGTTTATGGTGATAATTCACCTTCTTTCCCTGTAATCATTTGTCACTGTCAGTGTCTTTCCATTAAACAAGGCCACAAGGTAATTCCTGAACAGGTGGTTATTAGCAAGGACAACAGCTGAGCTATTGCCACTCTGGCAGGAAATTGCCATGTCCTTGTTTTGTTTAACTTTTTTTGTTCATAAGTGCCATAGCAGCCTTCAGGCTCTGACTGACCTGGGGAAGTTGTCGACAGGTGCCCAGTCTTTGGCGTCCGGGAAACAGAACTGAGGAATGACCTTCAGTTGGTCCTCAGCCTCTCGCATGAACTTAAAGCTCCTTTCAAGCTGAATGACACAAGAGAGAATGTATGAAAATGAATTTATTTCATTATATTTAAATATGAATCATACAGTTGAAGTCTTAGGCCATCATGCTTCACACACACATTTTACAGATTGGACTGCTGCAAGTTTAATATGGAATTGAGATACGTTTTATACAGAAGAATTAGAACTTAAACTGGAACTTCTACTTACAGTATCTACTCAGAATTTTAGATTTAAGTTGACCTCATTTTAATAATAACAATTCATTGTCCTAAAACTACCTGTAGTATGTTAATAAGATAATGAGACAAATGTAAGTCTGTATATTTTACATACATTAAAATATCTATCATGTACTTATAAACTGGTGGACTTGGGTTGGGTTGATTTGATAATATTTTAGGAAAACAAATATCTATTTAGACAAAAAAGATTTCTTTTCCAGAATTTTTTAAGCATCAAATTTCCAGTGTATCATCTTTCCTCAGTAACATTTCTCTGCTCGTCTACCTTGAGAGGGAACTGTTGTGTTACTTCTGGCAGGTATGGAACTCCGGCCTTGGTCTTGTGAAGTGCAACGACTATGAAATACTCAAAGAGTTTCCTCTCCTGTAATTCCATCAGATCCCTCTCCAAGGTCCGGTACCGTCCTGTCTGTCTCAGCATGGACTGGACTGACACCAGTCGCTGGCTGTGAGCTGAGGGACAGAGAATCACATTTCATTTATTTTTGAAGTTATCAATACAGTGGAATAATAGAAAGAAAGAAAACTTGGTTAGACTCAGCAAACATCTTCTTACTGTGATTAGTTGTATCTAATGAAATGGCACTAATGTAAAAGCATTATGCATTTTTACTGAGAATATGTTGTACAGCAGCTACTGGATGTGTAGGCCTTTATTTTCAGTCCTCACCTTTTAGCTTCTCCTCCGTGTCACTTTCAGACTCACTGTTCTCATCTGTCACTATGTTAAACAGAGTGAAATAGAGAATTAGAGTGAGGAGACTACAAATAACAATCACAAGAAATTCAGAGCATGTGGAATTTGCTCTCATTACTTTCAGCCAGTCACTACCAGACAACACCATCTAAGTGAATATATGTGAGCAGGTATTGAAGCTTTTGTGGACACAGGCCTGTAAAGTCTTTCTGGTCAAACTAAGTGCTGTAGGAAAAGTAATATAATGTAACAAAAGTGACTACGACTTCCGCAATAAGATGAACAAACATCAATAAAAATGCTAGAACGCTTAAAAGCTGTTATTAATATTTACAACAACTATTACAATCTAAAACAATGCTGTCAAAATTTTAGTCATAGGCAAATGTTTACCAGGAAACATTACTGTCTCTGAGGCTTTGATATTTATTATTTTCACAATAAAAGCATTTGGAAATTTTCTGACATCTAAAATGCAATGTATTGCTTCTTTATTTTCTTGCTTGCATGTGTCATTTAGGATCGATCTTTTATTAACTGAGGCTATGACAGAATGGTGACAATGTTAAGAAAGCCTTTCAAACAATTTCTGGATGCACCAGAAACTAATTACTTGTTCCTTGCCCTAACATTTCACAAATTTTATCATATTGGATTTCTCACCTCTCCCTGAGCCGGACTCAGTAGACTGGGAAACCCTCTTCATGCGTTTCTTTCCTCTTCGTGCCTCGAAGATGCCATTGATTTTCAGCACCATCTGGACAGGGTCAAGGGAAATAAATGCTCATCTTTATGTCATTAAACAAATAAATAAAATCTGCCAGGGTGCTACCAAGATCATTTCAATAGAGCTTATGGGAGGCCTTCCTCTAGGTGCACTTCTCACAGGAAGTATGTGTCAGAAACAGTTTCCCTGCCTTGCTCATCCCCAGACAGCAGCATGACTCGACCAGCTCTGAATCTCCCCGAGCAGTACGTTGGACCATAAATCACACACAAAGCCGAATGAATGCTCATATTTCCACACCTTGGGGATTTTCCTCCGTCTGCGATTGTACGGGTCTCCAGAGAGACATGGGGTGTCGTCAGGGCTACTGGGTGTGGAGGGGGGGCTGATACGAGAAGGCGAGGAGATACCGGTGTCCCTGTTGGTCTTGCGTAGCTCCAGGAGTTTGAAGCTTCGTCGTTCTGAGTTTTGTCTAAAGAAGCCAGGCTTAGGGGTGAGCTGTTGGGAGCAGATGAAAACAGACACATTAGAAGGTAGTTCTGGTGTAGAACTACTTCCTTTATATGTTGTATTGACAATCAGGCACCTTATTTGGTGCATCAGGGACAGGAGATGAGAAGGCAGGTGAGGCACATTTGCTTTCCAAACAACTTCTCTCCAGCTCTATATCTTCATAGGGATTCTCCTTGGATGGAGGATCTTCAGAAGAAACAAATACATTTTTCAAACCCAAGAAATCTACTGGATATCTATTGGATTACACAACAGCTTCACACAGGCTTTCAAGATAAAGTGATATTTCCAAATCAATTATGTTTCTTTCTACTCCAGATGTGTGGAGAGCTACCAGAGGCAACTCATATTTTACCGTGATAAGATGATTGCACAGCTAAAGCTAAATGTAATTCTAGTCACTAATCCTCCCTCCTGCAGATAAAGAGTGAGGTAGTTTCATTCTCCAAAACCTGTGCCTCTTTCTCCCTTTGTCTCTGTTTGCATCTCCCCTCTGCTCTATCAATTCATCCACCAGATGTGACCTGTTGGAGGAGGAGGATACAAAGGGACGTTCAGTTCCCTGTTCCTTCTCCCTTTGAGGAAAACAAGGGATCCGCACACTGTTTTTCACATTGCTCTCTGTTGACAGTGTCATACTATTCTCTACGTGTGTGTGTGTGTAGGTGTGTGTGTGTGTGTGTGTGTATTGTCAGCTATGCCATGAGAGTGTGTATCAGTAATCAAGACCTTGTGTTGGAATATGCACCAGTGACAGCTGATACCCCTTTTGGCTGAAAATGCTATCAGACTGGTGCATTCTTTGTTGATGACAATCTGGTTTGTAGACCAGGAGAATATAACCCCATACATTATTGTCTGTCACTGTCTACTGTCACAATCTTCTTGAGTTGTGTTTAGAATAAAGATCTACAATATGATGTGTCTCAGTTACTGTATCTATTGGACACTGCTATGTGTCTGGTGAACAGTGTTTGCACATTTAAAAGAACAATACTACTGTACAAAAGGAGGAAAGTATTAAAGGATCCAAAATAAACTATGGGATTAATCAAATATAATTAAACTTAATTTGATCATTGTCAGCAAGTAGAACTCATTATACATTAGTCGCAGCAATGAAAACCCAAGACACATTGAAGCCAGTAATGTGCCATGGCTCTAAGCCACTCACATACCCCCTGCTGCACTGACAATTGCAGTTGCCAAACTCAGCTACAGTACGACCTCACACAACGCCACTATTGTACCTCAAAAAATTAAATAGGCTCTAAGTGTGGTTTGCATAACATGGCAGACAATGAGGTAGGAACATAGGTCAAGTTTCTGAATAAAATTTTTAATAAAGTGGAGAAGAGTGGCCCTAAATTAAAACAGGACAGCCTGGCCTGTGACACGCTGATATGCCAGATGAAAATTAAGGGGCTATACAGTATATGAAGAGCATAGAAAATAGAACAATATATAACCTATGGTCCAGTACAGTACATAGCAAGAGTTTTTCTGTTTTTGCAAATATAGGCTACACAGTTGATACCGTACCATTATGCAACTTGATTTTTGACAGAATCCATTTGGTTAAAGAAAAATACAAATGTGACACATATTGTTTACCTATTATGTCCTCATAGACATTCTCTTCTGATAAAGTGCGTGTTAGACCCAGTCTGGACTGAGCATACCAGTCCACCCTGCAGCTCTCTGTAGATGACTGGAGCAGATCCTCAAATTCATAGGACTTCCTGGTAAACAGAGCATCACCACAATTTAGGCCAAACACAAAAGAACAAGAAGGAAGGATTTTTGACTGTTCTCCCTGAGTAAATTTATGTTCGAGTTTTTATAATCTTTGATACTGTATCTCAAGCAGCATGTCTGATGTAACCAGTCGCTAGCTTCCACATCTGATGGGCCACGTCTGTGTTTCATCACTGCTGAAGATTAAAAGCCAGTAGAATAAGTGCACAAGGGCACGATTTCATGTGTTCCCACATGCAAGGACATCCATACAATTAAACTAAGTTTCCTCTTTAATAGGTACAGCCCTGCTACATTCAGTGCAACACAATGCAACAGACGTGCAATAAATTCTACATTTATGGAACTGATCATGTTCAGTTTCTGAGGACTCTGTGGTGTTGCTGTATGAGACTGAATCATTGTGAAGAAAGTGAAAAATATTTTTCTCCTACCTGATTTGACATAGCAGAATATAACACAATAAAACAACACTACCACAGAGTACACCCTTTTCCTTTATTCTGTAAATCATTATCTAGTTGTGTGTCTTTCTTATTTTGTCAGTCGCAACAAAGGAGCTACATATGAAAACTAGCTATTGGGCTACATCCAGCATGTAATGATAATGACTGTACACTGTCCCTGATGTTTAAAGTAAAGAAAAGTGAATGACCATGGAGCTGAATCAACACCTCTCTAGCAAGAACAAAACATTACAGTCCTTTTAAAAGAAGGATTCATTGCAGACATGTTACATGGCATTACTCGGTGTACCCAATAAACTGGTTGTATTTGTTCACAGACAGACACACACAGAAAAATGCACACTGCAATGGATGCTCTCAGAGAGACAGCCTGCCCAAACAAAGGGCATGACGTGGCACACTTGGGCAAAGTGAGGCCTCCACAGATGGTATGGAATGTAACAGATCCAAGCCAAGCTCGAACAAGAATTCAGACCACTGGGGAACATGAACAATAGATGTACTCCAATATGAAAGGGTTCAATTTTTTGGCTTCCTTATGGAGTTCTATTTGTTTGACAGTACTACTGAGAAGAGTCTTGACCACAGTCTTCCACCATGTTGATTGCTCATGGCAGAAATATGTTTCAGATTGTAGATCAGGATTTAGATTTCACAAGTACACTTTTTTTTTTATTTCAGATTCTGTGAAAATTAATGCCTGACAACCCAACTGTAAAAATACCTTGCAGAATCATGTTTACTGACAAAGCTAAATATCTTGCAACAGCACAAGGCCTCTTTGACATGACTCACAACACTCTGTGTGTTGTTCTCCCCTTGCACTACAGTTTTGGAAGGAGGAATGAGTTGAGTTGATATGTGCATTCCTTAGATCCAACCAGTGAGCTCATTCTGTGGGATATTTAGAAAAACGGTGATGTCACTGGTGATTTGATTTACAGCAGATGTGGGACATGTTGTTCACCTCAGTATTTGGTTGGTGGTGGGGGAAGATTACCGGGTCCGCTGTGATGTCAGTAGAACACTGTAAACAATGGCTTTATAAATGTAGTTATGGGTTTGAGAAAAGTCAACATGGCTTGACTGGATGAAGTCTTTATGCCTAGGTTAGGTGTCAGCTGTACAACGGGTTACTCCAAACTAATCATGGCTGCCCATATATTTGCTCTTCTCAGCCTCTTACCTGTTACTGCTCTCCCGAGGTTTGTCAGCCCAGGGTCTCCTGCAAACTCCAGGTGGTGGGCATGTGGGCAAAGGTGGTGGAGGAATGGAGGGCAATGGGGGCAAGTTCCTCCTTCCCTTTCCCAAGCCAAGCCCTGAAGCTGGGCTAGTGGGTGGTGTGTGGTGCTGGAAGGTTCTCTGAGGTTTAGGTACAGGGTTTATGGAAGGAGCACCTGGCTCATTGTATACATTCTCTGGATCCCCCTCCTTCCTCCTCCGTGACCCACCAGACCGAGCCACATCAAAAGTTCCAAAAATAGGCTCATTGGCCTTCTTTTCTGTTTCTTCCAGCTCCTCCTTTGAGGGAGGGCAGAAGTAATTCCCTGGAAAAGCCAGTGAAGGCCTATCAGGAACTTCCTTTGTCACCTTCTCCAGTTTCTTAACATGAGTTAAAACCGTTTTCTTGTCTTGGGGTTGTTCTGTTGGCTTAGAAGCCCGAAACCCTTTTTCTATAATCACTTCCCTGTCTTTGTTTGTTGGGCCTTCTGGAGATTTAGCCCTTGAATCCCCCAGCTTTCCACAATTCTCCTTCCCTGAGTCTTGTCTGTCCCAGCTGACAAACCGCTTGCTGTCTGTCCTTTGGACCTCTGAAGTTTTGGATTCCTTTTTCCTCACTGTCTCAACTTCCTTTTGTGTCATGCTCAGTGAACTTGTCCCTATTGAGGTTAGTTGTGAAGGGTCCTTTTTGCCCTCCCACTGTGAGATCTTATCACGAATACTTGCTCCAGCTGGGCTTCGGTTGTGGTTCAGTTTTCCACATAGACCATTCTCCATGCTGGGGGTCTGCAGGTCTGTAGGATTGGTGGTGGCTCTCCTTTGAGCCAGCATGGTGCCAGGAGGACCCAGGTTGTCACTCAGGGTGAGCAGGGGGGAGAAGGGATGCTTGGTAGACACAGCGGTGTCCTTCTTGTCTATGTGCCCTGGTGACCCACACACCTCTTGGGGCTGGGGCACCACAGATGGTGGAGCTTCTCCAACCTTCAAGCCGCAGCACTGGAGCCTAGAAAACAAACAAAAATTAACAGACATACATAAAAGATTTATTACTTTCTTAACCCTAAAATGCTTCAAACAAACCACAAACAGGCAAAATATGCTGTAATCTAGAGAAATATACTAGTAAACAAATTAATTCTAGAACATTTGTATTGACATATTACACACCCAAAGGTACCCAGTTCAAACTGATAAGACACTACTGTAATGAAATCTCTGTACATGCTGTGGAAACATGATACAAGAGGAAAAGCAAACATATGGTACTGGTACATATGTGTCAAGAGACAGTATTACATTTACATTTAAGAAATTAAACATACAATAGTCTGACATTGTTACTAAGCCTTTAACAAAACCTGTGAGTTTAAGCAAAAAGGCTGTCAATGTAACAAATTACATGAATCAATTTCTTGAAAGTGAATAAAAATTAGACCCATCTGAAAATACATTTTGATCTTATGGCTACTAAAAACAAATGAATATGTGATTAATTGACCTTTAATTATCTTAAGGAGTGAATTTTTCAAACCAAGAATCAGATCTAGAAACTTACTGTAGCTACCGATTACATTTTTTGGAAAGAAACTATATGATCAGATCATTCTATAACTACATGAGCTACTGTATATAGCTTTTCAGAATTGCTGACTTTGCAGTAAAGAGCTCCGGCATATTTCAAGATTAACAGGCTAGAAGGTCACCTGTTAATTCCAAGACAGAGGGAGAGGCAACAAAAGTAAACCCAAATATGCAAAACATGCAAAGGGTCTCCTCTTGGTTTAGGAGACAGTGCTAACCACTGAGCAGCTGCTCCAGCTGACTGTCACTGCATTCATTCCAGACAAACAGAAGGAGAACATACATTGCACTGTTGTCAATATTAACTATTCATAGTGCAATTATTGTCAAAGAAATGTCAGTTACTACCTTCAGTGCACATAACAAAGCATCATGCTCCCCACACCTCTTAAAACTAGACATGCAAAACTGCATCCAAACAGTTCTTTTGTTTTCTGGGGTAAACAAGAATTCTTATTCAAAGAGTGCCGACATCTGCTTGGTGCCCCTACTTTATCTGTGAGTCATTCCTGGAAGATTACTAGGTCATGGCTGTTTGAACTCTGAGTTTGGAGGGTCAGAGCTTACAAGCTACACACACAGCTATTTCTGGAGAGATGAAAGTACACACAGAAGAGGGGAGAGGCTGAAGTGTAGACATGCCTTTTTTCTTTTCTAGTCCTGACCCACAAAACTGTGCTTTGGCCCAACGCCCATTCATCAAATGACTGAATTTCCAATGAACAGAGGAAACGCAGCCCTGCTGGCTGACTTCTGACGACATCGCTGGATGTGAAAACCAGCAGTCATGCAATCTTGAGGAAATCTCTAGGGGAAATTACTGATTCAGATTTCCTCAGGGAAATTTTTATGTTGTAACTATGACCAGTGGGGGAACCAAATAATTATCTTCCATATTGCTCTGGATTTTATTAGCTTGGCCCTTTGAAACAACAGTGCTTATTAAAAATGAAGTAACAGTGGAGAGAAACTAAGTCAAATAAAAAGCTAAGCAAATGAGAATGAGAGTAGGCATGGGGTCAAGTTAATGAGTTATATTAAAGTGGAGCAGATGAAGGGGGGCATCCTTGTTGTTTGTTTTGTCTTCAAAGGCACTTTTTGTGATGATAGGAAAATGTGATAAAGAAGCAGCTATTGAAAAATACACTTGATTAAAAGTATGTCTATCACCTGTGGCCATGGACGGGTGGAGGATGGAGATGAGGGTCTATGAAGGTGGATGAAGGGGAAAAAGGTACAAAAGCATCTCTGAATGGTTGAATTAAAAAAGCACAAATGGATAAGGGAAGAGCAGTGAGAGAAAACTAACTTATTTGAATAATATTCTAACCTTTAACAAGTAGGCTACCCACAGGAAAATATACTGAATGAGCAATGATAATGACAATAAACCCTCAAAACAACAAATCCATGTGATAATCCCTCATTGGCACAAACCAAGGTCCCTTCATTATAATCTAAATTGTACTAATAAACAGAGCAAGGATGACAGAAGGCCCAAAGAGAGCAGTCACAGAAGCATTAGAGTTTTGCAGAAAGGGGTCCAGTAACAATACCCAGATGCTAAATGGCCAGTTCTGCCCTATCCTGCTATTGTTATACTGTTGACCCTAATGGCAAGAGGTGTTTCCAGCTAGCTACAGAGTAATACAGATATTTCTGATGATTATGGGAAAAGTGCTACTGAGGCCCATGCACTCAAGCAATATCAGTGGCCTGAAGAAGATGCCTTAACTGTAGTCCCATGGATCACAGTTCATTTGGTGATGATTATAATATTTAAAATGCTGCAGTACACATTAAATAGTTGCTTTGCTGAACATTCCTGGCTCAAGAGGACATTAGCATGTTTGACATTGACCAGTGCTGACAAGTTAGAATCAAATTATTAGCACAAGACAAGGTATCTAAGACAAACTGTAAATTAATTAAATGGCTTTTGAGGCACCTACCCGTTGACTGATTGGTAGATACAGTTGTCAGTGTTTGTACAGAGCAGCAGGGCCCTCCCACCAGTCATGGTGCTAGCAGCTGGCATCCTGCATAGTCACACAAAGAGAAACATTTAATGTAATATATATGTATGATGGGGTGAGTGCACCGTGTGAAGCTTGTTGAAACATGAATGCAAGCACAAAACCGGCTTGTTTTTCATCTTATAGGTAATAAAGTTTAGATGAAAAACATTTCAGTCAAGCAGTTAGGAAACATAAACAGCTGAAAAAATTCCAGCTTGTTTGTTTTTAACTAAATATATGAAGATTAAAATTAGGTTGGCATGTGACAAATGAAGGCTGGGTTGAACAAAGAGCTGCTTCCTCACGAGTACTTCAGGGAAAACCTTTGAACTCTGGTGTGTCAATATAACATCAAATATAGGCAGGTGACAAATTAAAGGCAAAACCAACATAAAGTGTTTTAGTAAGGTGTTGGGCCACCACAACAGTTTCAGTGCATCTTGGCATTAATTCTACAAATCTCTGGATTATACTGGAGGGATGAACACCATTCTTCCAAAAGATATTCCCTCACTTGGAGCTTTGATGATGGTGGTGGAGACTCTGTCTAACACGTTTGTCCAAAATCTCCCATAGGTGTTCGACTGGGTTACGATCTGGTGACAGCGAAGGCCATAACATATGATTCACATCATTTTCATATTCACCAAACTATCCAGTGACCCCTTTTGGCCCCTTGTATCAATTTGCAGTCACTTCCCTCTAAGAAGACAAATGGATCCAAACCATGCCAGCATCTACATTTGTTGCTTCTCAACTTATTTATTCATAGCTACAAAAACTCCTTCCTGAACCAAGCAACAGAATAGCAGACTTCATGACTTGCATAGTTCCAGCACACTGCACATTTCCCGTTCTTTATTACAGACAATTAGTGCCAAGGGGACAAGTTAAGCCAGTTTGAAATGAGTTGATCCATGTGTCGGAGCATAATGAAACCAGATTCACTTTGAGCGGAGCAAGAACATACATACTGAGTTAGATAAAGTCACTGCTGCACAGTGCTCATGACTTGGCCTGTAAATGACGGTGGAGGGCTGGCATGAAGCAGAAGGGCCAGACCAACACATGGATGTATGTACAAGTGTGACTTCTACCAGATGTGCTAAGATACTTTGGCGTATTCATAAATATTTCCTGAGCACTGCATAGACCAAAACACCTCTATCCCCCATCTTATAAACCAGCATTAGCTAACCATTACACTATGCTACTTGCACTTGGAATGTGAGCTAAATTCAACCTAATTCCACAAATTGCTGGCCCAACAATTTTGGTAGATTACATAAGAAACGCTGCCAAGTAGCTAAACTCTTGCCTGTGCTAACAACATAATTGGCCCTGTGGATCCAGTGTTTTGGAAAATTCTGGACGTGTACAATCTCCTCTTCCAGATTAGAAGAACAAATGGGCACTACAAAAAGTAAACAGTGTCATCTTCTAGCTTCTAGTTTTTACTCAGCATATAGCCATCCATTGCTGTCTTTATTCCCTCATCAGTCTGAGGCCAAGCCCCCCAAGAGAGAGAAGAGAAAATGAGGAGGAAGGTTTGCGTCAGCCATCACTGGCCTGTAGGCCCAAATTATTTTCAGCTGTAAAATGAACATAGGTCACATGTTTGAGGGGAAACATCAACCATTTTTTTCTTCCTCCCCCTCTTGATTCTTTTGTACTTACTAAAACCCAACACAGAAATGAAGAACAGAAATCCTGCATGGAGGAAATGAGGGACAATGTATAGAGATTTCTAGTTTTACAGTTTTTTTCTGGTTTGGGAGAATAAAGACTGAAGATATGAAGAGAGGGAGCAAATCAAAGAGGAGAATGGGGAAATAGCGGTTGTCAGAACTAAAGAGGAAAGTGGATATTGCAACACTGCAATGTAAAAGAAGTGCAGGGTTTTAATTTATCCTACTACAATGTCTGGAGCCCAGTGTCCAAAAGAGAGAGTGCTGTTCAGTGGCGATTCTACTGCCTTAAAAGGTAATTGGGTATTTTCACTTAAATCTGACTTAATGGGCATTAACATTTCTCAAACTTGACTCATGCATGCAACACAGTGCGTCCCAGCACTCGCCTGAACATGTCAAGCAGTAATGTTTCACATCTCACAAAAGCGGTAAACTTGACAGCACTGTCAGTTTTACAGCACTCAGTCAGTGAGGAGCAGCTATTGGCAGCCATTGTTAGCCATGACCCTCAGATCAAGATGGCCACAATAACAACACAGAGGCTTAGGGAAGCCATCTGCTGAGGCCAATAAAAACATCACAGGAAACGGTGACCCATAAGACCTCTCTCTCTGCCCCACCCCCTTCAGTCTTAGCCCTATGAGATGTGGCAGGCCTTACAAGCCATGGCAGAGGAAGTGGAAGTGGTACTATTCATCAGTAGCTGTTGTGTGGAGAAGATGGTAACAGAATGTATGCTAGATGGGAAATGGCTCACAACATTTATGACATTTCTAATATTCAAAGAGATATTTATGCCTCTAAATATTTAGAGGTCCAGTAAAAAATGTCTTTTTTTACCCATTTCAGTACCAACCTGTTGACTCTGTTGTCAGATTTTGTAGATGTACCTAATGATTCTCAGATCAAAACAATATCAAAACCATTCAAACCAAAATCAAAGCAAAGCCACTATACAAATACATTCCATGAAAGATAACCTCCAGTCCTGACGTCAGATAAAAAAGGACTGATACACAGTTAACAGCACACACTCCTAAATGCCTTAAAGCCTTCAATAGATAGAGACAGCAGTCAGGGTCAGAGGCAGGGCATCAGGGCCAAGCATCACGTGCGTAACAGCAGATGGACACTGGGTATCTGGCCAATTTGACGTTCTTCCCACTGTCTTGGCGATTGGCCTGGCCAACCTTAGCAGAGTTGCTGATTTGACAGGCTTGTCAGCTGATGTAGGCCTCCTTGGCTATACAAGCTGGCCCATGTCTCCATGTGGCATCTCCCTTCCTACAGCCAATCTCCAGTCTGTATCACCTTCTTTTACTTTGTTGATGTAAATCTTAAGAAACTGTCAGTGATATACTGTAAACTCAGACAGTGATATTGTTAGTCAACTTTTTTGATTTGTGTCTTTGTTGCTGAGCTCTTTGTCCTTGTTAATGAGTGTAAATCTTTGGTGATAATCAGACGAATCATTGGTGTTGGAGTTGAATTGGCTTTATCACACTCTAGGGTTGTGATGTCAGTGTTTGGTAGCTAACTTTATCAGGCCTCTGTGTTGTTATCAGGGAGCTCTTGGCTGGCTGCTGCTATAGTACTATGAAAGCCTGCCTGCCTCTTCCCAACAGCTGCTTCTCATAAAGACTTCATCCTCCCCTATGTCCCTGTATCCCTCTGCCCAGCCCTGCAGAAACAGCTAACATCATGACATCATCATCACTTGCTTGTTCTTCCTCGAACTGCTCTCCTTTTCTCTCTCTGTCATTTCAAAATACCTAAAAAGGGCAAAGTTGCTCACAGCCCATGTTGCATTTCACAGTTATCAGAACATGGATCAAATGTAGAAAGAAACCAAAAAGTGGTAGAGCCTAAACAATTTGTCATCCTTATGAGTGAGGTTTTATGTAAAAATGGGACAAGGAGACAGCACAGTAGTTATACTGCAAAGAAAAGAAAAGCATATACTTTCTTCTTTTTCTTTCTCTGCCCAGGCAGAGTTGAGGAAACTAGCCCCTACAAGATGTGGCTCACTGTAGCATGTGCCAAAGCCTTGACTGCAATCAATTTAATGCACCACTGCACATTTAGCCATCTCCTTCTGGAATGGCAAACTTGGCTGCTTTTTCCTTCCACGTCCTTCACGCTTTGATTTCTCCTCTTCATTCTCTCTCTTTCATTCCCACTCAGTCTTGGAGTTGAGGGGAGAAAAGTAGGATGGAGGAGGGAGTGAAGGAAGGACAGCAGAGTATTGGGTTTTAATCTTCTTTAGCCCCTCTGTATTTCATACCCAACTAAACCACATCTTATCCTCTGCAAACCTGAAGCAGAGATTACTCATGTGCAGCCAATTTGTTTCAAGCACAGATCTGACATAGAGTGTTTCATTTGAGTAACATACAGTATGGGTTTCACAGTGACTGAAAGTGGCCTTAACCTGGTAGGGCTTGGAAGGGTTTTGCCTGGTTCTCTAAGAAGTAGGAAAGGGAAAGTCAATGGTAAAGGAAGGGATGTATGGAGAGGAGAAGGGAAAGAAAGGGTAGGGCAAATAAACAATGGAATTATATTGGGGCTCAGCAGTATCCCTCTGTCTTTTTCTCTCCCTGTTTCAGTTTCTGTGTCCTGTTCAGGGGCCCTGCTGCTTTCCCAGCAAGGCCTTGGATGTGAGCCAAACAGGCAACTCTATAACTATGTGTGTCTGAATGTGTGTGTGTGGATCTGTTGATGCATATGACTGACAGCCAGGAAGTGTGTTACAAGCCTGGAAGCTGTACAGTCATTGAATTTATTTATTTTTCAAACATGCCATGTTTACCTCTCTCTTCATCTTTCGGTTTCCTCATTTTATCACACACATTATTGTTTTGGCAGCCAGCTATACTTATCTTTTCATTCTAAATCCAATTACAAACCACAGTGATCTACGTTGTATGACGTACAGTGGTAAAGACATCTATCAGCTGGCTTTTAGGATTAGAAGACAAGCACACACATGCATATATAATGCATGCACAAGCCATTCTAATGTCCTTTCCAAACTCAGAGTTCTCCTGCCACGCTGTGCTCTGTCCTCTTGCCCCTCCACTTCTCCCCCTGCTCCTTTAATTGTTAGGAGAGGATGGATGTGAGACAGCACTGAAACTGGGTTAGCCACAGAACCAGACAGGAACTGAAGGTGGATGCAACAAACAATTAGTTTCACTCTTTACGCATTTCTGTCTATCAATCCACTCTAAATATAACACAAATAACCATTGTTGTTGTTTTTACACACAAGACATATAGCATTTCTTGTTATTGTGGCTGTCATTTATAAGTGAGACTCCTAAAGCCCTG